ATCCCTCGCACGCCCAGGATTGAACATCTTGTGCAGGGACAATATAGTGTGGCGCAAAGCCAAGAATAGGGATGAGTGGTCTAACTCTGATACCATGTTAAGAAAAGTGAATATTGGCGTAACTTAACATGTAAAGCTTGCTCATCAGGTGAGAAACAACACATTTTCCAAACGAATGTGGAATATTAAATAAGAATGAAATGCCAATAGCTCATCAGGTGAGAAACAACACCTTAGCAGCCTTAATTTCTAGATCATCAACCTTGATTTGTTTTGACAGGGGTCTTAATAGGCAGACGAAGAACAAGTCCGACTTTTCAAAGGCCACGTTTTGTGCATGCCTGAAAGAGGACATCGATAACTGTTAATTAAAAAATGGAGACTGTAAAATAAACAATTAGAGTCCAAAATTTAACCAGCATTTCACTCGACACTTTAAACTAAGGTTTAGAGTGTGATTATCTCAAATAACATGAGCGAGAGCAAGATGCCCAATTAAGCTTGAAGATGGGCAGTTTTTATTGTAATTGGAAGAAAATAAATCTTATATTTCTACATCAGATGCACATCCTTTTCGATCAATTTGTTACACCAGAAGGCAAGAAATGTCCTAAAAGATGAAGTCTAGGGGAGCTTTAGCGCAACGATAAAAGTTGTCGCAGTGTGACAGGAGGCCATAGGTTCAAGCGGCAGAAACAACTTATTGTAGAAATCACAAGTAAGGGTACCTACATAAGAACCAATGTGGTCCGGCCTTACCCGAAACCCGCACATAGCAGGCGCTTAGTGCACTAGGCTGTCCTTTTTAGTAAGCAAGAAGTGTCCTAAGCAGTGAAGTCTAGCAAGTAGTACTTTTATATTCTCTGTGTGTCTGAGCAAAGTTCGCTCGGATACTTATCGTATCAGCATTTCATGTTCTTATAAAATACGCTAATATAGATCTTCCTAGCGCTAAAAAGGCATATAATCATGAAAAATTCATGGTCCTTTGAAGAGGAAGATTTTTGTTACCTGAAAGCCATAACCTCCACAAATTCAGTATCAATCTGGAAAGAATAATGATAAAGAAATATCATCATTATGTTTACGATTGCTCATTTGAGTAAAAAAATATGTTAAGTGTGGATTTCTTACCCCAGTTTCCTCCTTCACTTCTCTCACAACTCCTGTAAATATCTCCTCGGACTGTATTTTGACACGAACAGTTTTTAAGGAGTTAAGTATACAGAATACATGTTTCAGTATTTACTTCTGTCAAAAGTGACCAAAATGTTAAGGTCAAATTGAGTTAAGTATACAGAATACATACCTCAAGAATGAAACCAGTTGGTATTTTCCATAGCCCTGAAAGAGCCGGCGCAGAATGTTTCTCTTGCACGACGAGCACCTAAATGAATATTTCATTAGGCTATGGGATTACAACAACAAAAACCCAGTGCAATTCCCACACGTAGGGTCTGGGGGAGGGTAGTGCGTACGCAAACTTACCCCTACCTTAAGAAGGTAGAGAGGTTGTTTCCGGTAGACCCTTGATATATTTCAAGCATAACGATCTTCATAAGCTTATACATGTTAATAGAAAAATATGCACCTCATTCTTGTCGTTGATCACAAAACCTCCAACTCCGACTTGATGAGATGCATTAGAAGGAAGCATGCAGGGTTCATTTGGTATCCAATAAGTCATCATCACATATCCTCTTTCGGCATGATGGTACTGAAATCCTTCCTTCAAAATTTTTAGCCAGCATTCAATATCAAAAGAACTAACACCAAAACTTAAAGATTTCAGTTAAAGTGATATAATACCTTTACTGCAATAGGAACTAGATCACATTTTTCCACTGGTAGCTTAAGCCAAACTCCCTTCTTCCCCTGCATTGGGAGCCATTAATTAGCAAAAAGGTGTTTTATAAGATGTTATCTAATGATATTTGACAAAAATGGTGAGTCTTTTTGGAAAACATTCCAAGTGTGTTTTATAATCGCAAGAGTTGTCAAAAATAAACAGAAAAAGTGACAATGCAGTGGCTTCCACTATGTAGTAACAGGCGTTGTCAAAGGCACGCTTAAGTCCTGAAGTGAGACCCAAAACACGTTGAGCGCTTTGCCTCGCTTAACGGGTACTTCAGTGTCGTCATCGAGGCTCTAATGCATACTTTTCCTTGTCGTAGATCTTTCTCAATTTCTTTGTCCATATAATTTAATTCATGCTTATAATTATTAGTCTCATACTATACATATATATTCATATTTTTTCCCATGTGCATCTTTTTTCACTAAAGCCCACGCTTTATTGTTCTGTGCTTAAATCTCCTAAGGACCTTAGAGCTTCTTTGCGCTTTTTCGCCAATGATAACACTGTGTAGTAATCAACACCAGACAACAAATCTAGTCATGAAGTTTGAGACTAGCCTAATATAGTAGTTGCTGGAGTACCTTCACTTTCCAATGAGCGAGAGATGCACGAAGTACAGACGCAAATTTGGCCGGATTCGATGGTAGTCTTTCTGCGGTGACGATTACCCCTCCATATTCATCATCAGAGGCATCAAGTACCCATTTATCTCTAAAATACAAACCTGTATGGTTTATACCATTTATCTGATAAGAGAAAGTGTCCACTAAAAAGTTCTTTTTGGTGACTCAGCTTGTAGCATCATAAGAAGTTCTTGAATAAGAAGCCTTCACTAAAAGTCGTGAAGGTAAAACAGAACATTACAATATTTCAATTTCATTGTCAGATACAAACAGCAACATTTCTCATTTAGCAGCAGTAGTGATGTTATCTAATAACGCGTCGATAATATTCTTCTTAATGACTGTATTAGAAACAGGAACTGCATCTCTAAAAGCTAATGATGCGCTTCGTATTGCCTAATTGAAGAGCCATTTTGACAAGAGCGGACTTACTTGAATACACAAACTTAAGCTCGTCTAAAACGGAATAAAATGACTGGAAATGTTAGAGAGAAACCACTTTTATGTTGACAGTATGATTCAACTGCGAGCGTGATACTTTTTCTCAGCTAAGCACGTAGAAATATTAGGTTAATCAATGGCGGTAGGACTTGAACTCTCATACCATGTTGAATTGTGTGACTAAAACGTCTAAAAAATGGTCACATTATTCAACAAGAAACACAAATATCTTAATACATGAGAGAAGTGAATGAATGATGCTGAATACATACGGCCCCTTAAACTTGCCTGATTTTTTCACTTAGCCACCTCTACTAAGATTTATACCTATTGAACACTTGAACTCGAGTTAAGTATGAAACACCCAACAAACATTACGACAACTGAAAGACAAACATGAAATGCTTTTATCTACATAGCTAATGCTTTGTCCTTCAAAACATACTCTCCTCTTCACTTCAACTATCAAAAAATCAAACCTGCTCGGACTCTTGAAAAATACCACCAGGTGTGTATCGGATCCTTTCAATATGCATTTTTGGAGGATCCGACACTGGTGCGACAACATTTTTGGAGGGTCCAAGCAACATAGCAGAAACAACTATTCTAAGAAGTAGCTTATGGCTGGTTTTCTCCAAAATCTGGATACACTAATTAAATATACGAAACTTACACACTTTTCGTTTTTAGTTTGTTCCAAAAAAAAAAAGACACATTTTTATACTTATAAACAAGTTAACTTTAAACTTCTAATTTTTTCCTTAAATGACATGATTTTATAGCCACAAAAAACGACATGGCATGACCACAACGTACAATCTTCTTATAACCATAAAGATCAATGAAAAATAACCTTTTGATTAAATCCAAAAATCAAAAGGGTGAATAAGCCTAATTATATAACAGAAAATTACCTTTGCCAGAACAGAACTTGGGAGCCACATTGACACCAAATTTGAGCTTTGAGTCTAATAATGAGCTAGAAAACTTCATTGTCTCCATACCAACTGATTTAGACATTGATATTGCCTTAAAATCAACATATTTCAGCTCCATTTAGACTAATTCTTCAGTTCAGTTCCACAGTCCAAATGAAAAACCAAAATCTTGATAGCTTTATAAATAACCCCAGATAAATAAGGAAACCACGTAATTTAAAATTTCAAAAAAAAAGTTCAAGATTCGTTTTTTTAATGCTAAAAACAAGATATTTTCTTGGATATTTGAAAACTAAAATTTGAAAAAAAAAAAAAAAAAACCAGTGAAGAACTGTAAGTAAAAGAACAAAGAAGATATTATATATATATAAAGGAGATGAATTATGACATGGAAACTGACATAAAGTTAAAGCAGATATCTAAGCTTGATAGCAATATAGCATGTGGTTGAAAATGAACCTTGTGTAAAATGACAAAAACAACTACTAAAACAAAGATATTTTTATAAGTTATTTGCATTAACTAAAGTGTAGAAAATGAAGGGAAGTGAAAGGAAAACTGAGAGGAAATGGAAAAAGGAAAGAGTAATGTGAGGTAAAGTTAGTGTGAAGAGGAAGCTCAATGGAAGAGGCAGAGGAGAGGGGTACGTTTTAAACGCAAGTTCTCGCTCTACTTTTTCAAACTTACGCGACACATTAAACATGTATATTGTATTTATCATTCGTAGCTATACTTTCAATAAATTTACCATTCGTAGCTATATTTGAATTTTGTAGCAAATTCATGAATAAGAGATTAATTATTTTATACTAAAACAAGGGAACAACAATCTCTCGTAGCTTATTTGGTTAGAGCGCTTGCTTAGTCAGTGAAGGTCTTGAGTTTGACTCTCAACAACAACATTTTATTTTCCTTGCCCGTTTGGATACAAGTGATAACAAATTATCCTAGAATCTATTTTACCAAAACCAGATCTAGATTTATAAAGTAAATAAACCACATTAACAGCTTGTTTGGATGATTGTTACCTATCGTATCGTATTGTTACTTTAAATACAATGTTTGTTTTGATTGTTACTTAAATTTTATTGTATCGTATCGTTAAATCCGTCGTTACGTAACAATGAAATGTGCCACTTTATGTAACGACCGATTTGGTGTGGTCGCGTCGTTATTTCCTTGTGTTTTTCTCTCAATCTCACCCTTCATTATTATTAAATAATTTTATTTTATCATTTACCCTACCTTTTTATATACCGTATCATAATTTTTCTTTATAATATTGCAAGTTTATTCATCATATCACAGGTGCGTGATACAATGAAACGACGCCAAAACGACACAATCCATCCAAACATTGTATTCATCAAACGTTACAGTACAATACAATACAATACGATACGATACATTATGAAACGATACGTAACAACCACCCAAACAAGCCGTAAAAGCAAACTAAAACAAGATTATTTATCAGGCCGAGGCCCCTTTGTTTGGTGTGATAGCGGCAGAGACAGATTTACGATTTAAAACTAGGGGTTCAGTGTTGGAGATTTTAACATTGAACCTAATATTTTAAAGTTATTGATTCATATATAATATTTGTTGTAATTTTTAATGAATTTTTAAAATAAATTTATTTCTCACGTCAAAAGTATTGAGTTCAAATGAACCTAGTATTGTAATCCTAAATCCGCCGATAAACATCGGATTCGAGTAAGTATTAATTCCACAAATCTGGAGACAGAAAAAGAAATAATATTTGGATACAGTGCGCAGTGTCATCTTTCATCACTTTCAAAAAATCAGGTAGGTAGATCATGCTTCCTGATTTTTTGCTTATCTTAATCATGAATTATTTAGTTGTTAGCACTGTTATCTTATCCTTTAATAAATTGGAGAAATAATTAATTTTAAGTGGACGTCTCTCTTTCCTTTTCGTGAATAATGCATTTTCCTATCAACAAGAATGACGTGATTCGAAATAGTATGAGTTTTTTAAAATGTAAAGCCGAATATAAAATTTTCAATTTTCCTATGAAATAGATGATTTTAATGTGAAGTTGGTTCTTAATTTTCAAATCTTAAAAAAAATATAAAATCATATCTAAAAGTTACATTAACAAAATACTAATCTCTCCGTTCCAATTTATGTGAATCTATTTAACTGGGCACGGAGTTTAAGAAAAAACGATGACTTTTGTAATTTGTGGTCCTAAACAAGTCAAAAAATGGGTCCAGAGTATTTGTGTGGTTATAAAAACTTCTGATTAAGGGTAGAATCGTAATTTAAGCTAAATTGTTACCAAATTTAGAAAGGGGTCATTCTTTTTGGAAGGAGTCAAAAAGAAAATAGGTTCACATAAACTGGAACAGAGGGAGTATAAATTATTATTTTTTATAGTTAAATTTATTTAAATAATTTTTGAAAACACATTGTGTAAGAAAATTTGACTTTTTAAACAGCGACCGTGTCATTTTTTTTGGATGTACAAATGGAGTATAATATATTAAAGTGCCTATAATTAATCAAATATTATGAATCCAACTCCCCTCCATTTCCTATTGTCTCCATTTCTCTAAGTTCTTACTTGGATAAACGACACATGTCTTATCTTTATATCAATGGTCTAAATTTAATTACTTGACACAACATTTTAACCACAGTTAAAATAATAGATATCTTTATATATTTACTCCTAAAAAATTTGACAATCCCATAACTAAAAGATTTGATAATCCCATAATTGTAGGAGCAAAATTCTGAATACTCATCAATTAATGCATTTTTATTTGCTTTAAACCCTTTTTGAATGTAAAAGGGAGCACGTAAAACAAATATAAGTTTTTGAAATCTAGAATTTTGACAAGTTTTCGAAATTCATTCATTTAGTTTATGTTAAAAACTTTTTTTCCGCATCTCGATTATGTTAGTGATTTTCTTCTTTCATACTTTGGTATGTTAACTTATTTCAATATTACGATTCCTAGGTATTTCTTTCTTCAAAGTAAAAGCGAGAAAACAATTCAAACATCTTAAACTTTTTGATCCAATAATGCTGGGTTATTTGTTTCAGTAGACAAACTGAACGTATTTGTAATAATTTACTTCAAACCTTTATATATACCTAAATTGTTGTTTAAAGACCATCAAGTCTCATAATTATGTAAAGCCATTATTTATACTTTATAGGCAGATTCATTGTTTTTCAATAAAAAATGGAGGGGGATTATAAGATATAATATGAAATGGAACTGCTTTCTTTTATTTATTTTCAATAATATTTTACTTCATTATTTGGTAAAAATACTTTTTGGCACAATACGTTTGAGGTATCTTAATATTCATACCTTGTATTTCTGTTGTAAGTGTTGTTCTATTTAAAAGGGGAAAAAGAAGATCGAAATTGGAAAGAATATTGAAAGTTCAGAAAAAAATAATGAAAATATTATTATCCTAACCATGGTTAAGTAAATGTTTAGGCAATTAAATTTAAATCACTGATTTAAAGATAAGACATGTGTCATCCATCCAAGTAAGAACTTGGAGAAATTGAGACAATAAGAAATGGAGGGGAGTTGGATCCAAATATTATATATCATACTCCCTAATCAAACGCCTAAAATGATGATAGTGGCAAAGCCAGTAATTTCACTAGGGGTATTCATGATTTAATATACATGTGTAAAAAGTTATTTTTGATTTATATACACAGTATAATTTTTTATATACACAGTATAATTTTTCGATAAAGAATATTCAACTGATCACCCTTTATTGTATGTGACTACGCCACTGAAAGCTGATATAATAAAGTATATATTGGACTGTCAACAAATATTATGTGGCTAAAATCCAAAGAACATCCAATTTAAAGAACTCAATTGCTATCATAAATATCAATTGATCAATTATGTCAACAAAATCTAAGTTGCATGGAAATATCTTATAAATAAATAGTAAATAAAATAAGAAAATGGGTCAAATTTGTTGTACTCTTCGAAATTAAGCTATTTTGTATTTCATTAAACTGTTGCTCTAATATTACATTACTAGTTAGGAGAAAGATTTTTATTTGACTCCTAAAAGAGCTCCAATATAAAGGTAATTAAGAATTATAGTCAAACTTTGAGAGGTAAATTGGCCTTTTTTCCTCAAAAAAAATTGAACAAATGAAATCCACTCATTACACATTTAAGATCCACTAAGGGCAAAGAAAAATATCCAAATATGCTTGCGGTAAGAATATGAATGAAAAAAAGTACTTCTAAGGATAATATTGAGCAATTTCGAATGGTATTAAAATAAAAAAAAAATTAAGCCAATGCCAATAAATCTATGAAAAAAATAAACAAAAGAAGAAAAATTTGATTGGCTAAAAATGTATAAGATTGTATTATTAATTTCTCTTCAATATGAATTTTTTTTGGTACGTGTAATGAGATGCATAGAGAAAATAAGAACTTTATGACAACGGATAGCTCGGTTTCGCATCATATAAGTTACGTTATGGTGAAGTCCACGTGGGAACACGTCAAGTTGGATTGTGATTAGGACAAATAATTTTTTTTATGTCTAGTACACGTGATTCTATTCCCACTATAGTGGACAATTGCCCAGCACTTTTTTGGGTGATAGCAGTCCATGTAGGACACTTAGCCCCCCTTCCGCAACCCCGCCCCACCCCCCTCTTTTTCCCAATGAAGTTTATCATTTATATAATAATTTGTTATTTAGGTAAAAGTGTTTAGATTAACTTAAAGTAATCGAGATTATACGACTGAGATTTGTTTTAGTGGTAGAGTACTTCAAGAGTCATGATGATATTACTGTCTTCATCGGATTATTTTTGCTTCTCACTTTGGTCAATTAGCAATAATTTTTTTATGGACTTTCGGAAATCTGTTTCATATAGCTTGACAAAGGAAATTTTGAATCGTGGGTATTGTTTATCAGTAAAGCGGTATCGTTGAATTTATACATGGTTTATACACAAGTGAATCAATTTGATCCAAAGATAATAGATGAATTAAACAGAAATATAAGACTTAGCCTTAAAATTGGAATAGACGGCAGATGTCTTGGTTCTGGGCGCAGAGCTACCAAGAGCAATAAAAACAATACAAATAACACTACAAGAAAAATGGATTTTACCGAAAGTATGCAGCGGTAATAACATAATTACCGCTACTTTATTTCTGTAGACGCAAATATTACCGGCAAATAAGCTTTAGCCAGGGAAAGGAATGTTTTTCTCGGCAATTGAAAGAAATTGCCACTGAAGGTGAATAATGGAAAGAAGACTTCAGTAATATTTTGTTTCTCTCCAATATTTTTCACTTTCCATGTTCCCTCCCTCGATGAAAAAGAAAATATCTCTTCTCCCACTGCCCCAATCATCAAACCCCTCTCTGTAAACCATGAATACGCAAAGCCCAAATAAACATCTTCTCACTCAGTCTCATCTTTGCCATTCCACGATACAAATTACGAAGAGAATCAGGTTACACTAATCTCTAATCTCTGATTATTTTTCAAATCTATTTTCTGTTTCTGATCTGCCTATCTAGGGTTCATGATGTTCCGTTTTTGGTATGCTTATTGTTCACATTTATATGTTTATGTAGACTTTAAATGTGGTGTATAAATTTTATATTTTTAACTAGAAACTCTTGTAAGATACGAGGGCAAAATCGGGACCAAAATTGAGAGTATACGTAGTTATAGTCCAAGGATTTTTGATTGATTTGAGAAATAGAGAAAGAAAATAAAGCTTGTATCAGATACTTTTGCTTCTCGTATTTCTCTAATAGCCAAAAAGCCTCAAGGGAATAATGTGTCGAGTCTGGTAAGGTGTTTGGTGACAAGTTTTGTATGTCATTTTAGTCGAGCATTTTCGCGGTTAATCTGTTTGTGAAAATGCCACTCAAACTATTTGTCAAGAAATAAATGAGAATATTCATTGTAAAATATTTCAATTATGAAGCACATGTTTCTACCACTTTTCGCATGAAATGGGTGGTTATGTTCTGAGAGAAATTTTGGTAATTTATTATTTTTGCTTTGAAACATGACAGTTCCTAGGTTTTATGATGCACCACATTACACTTTAAATGTGTTCACAATTTGAGACTTCAGAATGGCATTGTGGATGACCTACAAGAATATTGCAGATGGTGATATAGGGTATGACTTTTCACATGGTTAGCTAGCATTGAACTAACGATCTTTGGAGAAAATTTTGCCATATTACATTCAGAAGGTTAAGTGGATTCTTGTAAATCTTAGGTAATTTTTGCATGACATAGGAGGTGCATAACTGATAGCACTGTCACGAAATTCTGTTTCTTTTATAGTTTAATCAGTATATACTAGTTGTGTCGTTATTTGAAGGACACTTCAAATGGATTATACTTTAGCTTACTTTCATCATATTCTTATTGTATTAGAATTGATATCTTTTTTGATGTGCGATTGAATAGGATAACTAAGGATCTGGTAGATTACTTAGTGCAATTCATAGATCCAACACAAGCATGATGAATTGATCAATTCATTCTGTGCTTTCTTATCTTTAACTTTTATTTTGCCTCTTTTTTATGCTATAAATTGTGATAAACTTTCTTCATGTACAAGCTCTTTAGGTATCCCGTTCATTCAGAAACGTGTGAAGGGACCAAGGTGACTTTCATTTTTATCGGGATAGGGATTTAATCCTTTTTAGTTGTTCTCATTTGTTTCTTTGTGAATCCCTCCTTTTCAATTGCAAAATGGATTTGTCCATTCTGTCTATGTCTAAAGTTGTGTAGATAGATAATCATTAGTTTCATCTCATATATTTTATTTCGCTCTTTATATGAGGTTTTGTCTTGCAGCTTCCACCACTTTTGATGCTTTCTGCTATTAGTGCAACATTTGGTGGTATGGGCTAAAGTCTTTCTGCTGAATATAAAAGTTTCTTTTTGTTATCTTACCGTGACCATGTTGTTACTCCATGTTTGCATTATATTGAGTAATATAGCAGAAAGTATTTATATCTCATTTACCCTTTTATGTCGTTTCATAACTGTTGATATCTAAAGTTCCTGTTATTATTTAATTTAATGTACTATATAATCACATTTTGAGGACTTCTAGAAACTAACTTTAAGATGCTTTGTCCCCTTAGTCTTAGTTCCTCAAAATTTTAGCTTCAGGTGTTCATACCTTCATGAGTTGCTTATATAGGACCACACAATTGAGAATTGAGGTTTGGGTAGAACATTACAGTCTTGAACATAGAATGGACAAAGAAAATTGGAATACACTTAAGATTGTAGCAATATAAGTGAAATTATGAAATAATTGAGATAAGAGGAAAGAGAGAATATGTAGAAAAGAATCTCTGAAGGTTCACCTAAATGTTCTTGTATCAAATCACAATAGATAAGTTAGCTATCATTACATCTCATTAACAAATAAAAACTCTCATTACATCTCATTAAGTCGCCTTCTTTTACAAGCCTTTACCAACTTTATTTAAAAGGTGTACTTCAATATTTCGCAACTGTAAGCATGTTAGTTTCAATTCGTAGTTTGAGAATTGGATATCTAGTCTGAACTATAATTCAAGTCAATATTGAAGATATATTTAATATAAGGAGTTCACAGATACAAGTAAATTGTTAGGCTAATCTTCCTAAATAATGGTGAGTCTCCTGAGAAGAATTTTAAATCGGGATGAGTTTACTGCAAATCATGGTCTATCTGGTCTATAATTTTCTTTAAACACAAAACACCACAGTTTCTTGTCATACAAAAAGTTTTTCTATGAGGCAAAGTTTTCAAAAGTTTCTCTATGATGCTATATATTAGTTTTACCTAAGCTCAGTGGATGACTGACTTTGCTACTAGTTTCATATCCAAGGTATCTGTAGTTTTTTTATTTTCTTCGTAAATTTTTTACAGTCTAAAATAAAGAGTTTTACTTGATATGCAGTCATAATAACACAGTATGACGATTCATCTAATAATACCTTGAGTTATACAAGATAGTGACAACTTTTAAGGTTAGTAGAAGCTCTTCTTTTAGCTTTAGCATATTTTGATCGATTCTCAGTCAACTCTTTTTACCATGAGTCAAGAGAAATAGCTAAATATCCCAATAGTAGCTGCAATAGAATATCAATGCAAAACAATGTTATAGGTAAAACTGCAGTATTGACAGAGAAAGATGACTAACAATAAGCAATAATACATTAAATACTTAGCATGTCATTTTCTCTGTTTATTATTTGTCATATCATGTGGTTGCATATTTTTCTTGGTGATTGGATAGAGAAAATATTGTTTATTTTGATGCATATTAATTGAGAGGACGTCCTCTTACCGTCTCACTCGTTCATATGGGATTAAGATAACATAATTGTGAGACCATATGAAAGAATAAGATTTCTTGTTACCTAATGCTTCTTGCTTGTAATGTCAGATTATTCACACTACTTGCGATGATTTATGCATTACATTTCATATTTTGACATATTTATTTTATGATTTCAGGTCAATACATTCTGATGTTCGAAAATTACGCATGTGGAAAATTTTAATATGATGAAGAGTTGCGGAAATTATTTGAAGTCATTATCGATAGGATTGGTTATAATAGTATGAACAATATAAGTTTTTCTTTTATGTTGTGACATTAATATTTTGGTTTACTATTTTCTTTTGCTTGCTTTAGATTAAGCAAGTTATTTTATGAATTAATAGTAATATAATTTTGGTGTCAAACTTCTTTGTGTCACGACCCGGATTCCCAACCCTCAGGAGTCGTGATGGCGCCTACTAATAGGAGCTAGGCAAGCCAATTAACTATATACATTCTTAGGCAAACATCGACAATATTGAGACAACGAGACAATTAATATAAAAGCGGAAGTCTTAAGCATAAATGAACTGAAAACAAGTGCGGACTGAAGAAAAACTCTTCGACCTCGACTGTCGAACCTGCCGATCTAGAATAGCCACCGGCTCCTCCTCATAAGATAGATCCTTGTCCAACTGGACAGTGCTGAAATCTAAAACATGGGCTGGATCGCCGTGATACCTCCGAAGCATGGACACATGAAACACTAGACGCACGACTGACAAGCTAGGTGGCAAGGCAAGTCTATAAGCCACCTCTCCCACACGATTGAGAATCTCAAATGGACCAATGAACCTAGCGCTAAGCTTGCCCTTCTTCCCAAATCTCATCACGCCCTTCATAGGCGACACTCGGATCAAGACCCGCTCACCAACCATGAAAGCTGCATCCCGTACCTTACGATCTGCATAACTCTTTTGCCGCGACTGAGCCGAACGAAGCCTGTCCTGAATGATCTTGACCTTATCCAAGGCCTCCTGAACTAAATCTGTACCCAATAACCGAGCCTCTCCCGGCTCAAACCATCCAATTGGGGACCGACATCGCCTACCATACAACGCTTCATAAGGAGCCATCTGGATGCTGGACTGGTAGTTGTTGTTGTAGGCAAACTCCGCTAAAGGCAAGGACTGATCCCACGAACTTCCAAAGTCAATAACACAAGCTCGGAGCATGTCCTCCAATATCTGAATAGTCCGCTCGGACTGTCCGTCCGTCTGAGGATGGAATGCTATGCTCAACTCAACCTGGGTGCCCAACTCTCTCTGAACTGCTCTCTAGAAGCGCGAGGTAAACTGCGTACCCCGGTCCGAAATGATAGATTCCGGCACCCCATGAAGGCAAACAATCTCTCTGATGTAGATCTCAGCTAACCTCTCGGATGAATAAGTGGTTGCAACAGGAACAAAATGCGCTGACTTGGTCAGCCTATCAACAATGACCCAAATCGCATCAAACTTCTTCCGGGTCAATGGGAGTCCAGTAACAAAATCCATAGTAATCCTCTCCCACTTCCACTCGGGAAGCTCAATCCTCTGAAATAGTCCACCAGGACTCTGATGCTCGTACTTAACCTGCTGACAGTTCAAACATCGAGCCACATATGCAACAATATCCTTCTTCATCCTACGCCACCAATAATGCTGCCGCAAGTCCTGATACATCTTCGCGGCGCCCGGGTGAATAGAATACCGGGAACTATGGGCCTCCGCTAAGATCAACTCTCAAATCCCATCAACATTGGGCACACAAACTCGCCCCTGCAGTCTCAAGACACCATCATCATCTAAGGTCACCTTCTTGGTACCTCCACGCTGCACCGTGTCCCTCAAGACACACAAATGGGGATCATCAAACTGTCGATCACGGATACGCTCCAATAATGAAGAACGAGCAACCGTGCAAGCTAACACTCGGCTAGGCTCAGAGATATCCAACCTCACAAATCGATTGGCCAAAGCCTGAACATCCAAAGCAAGCGGTCTCTAGCTGACCGGAATATAAGCAAGACTACCCATGCTGGCGGACTTTCTACTCAATGCATCGGCCACCACATTGGCCTCCCCCGGGTGGTACAAGATAGTAACATCATAATCTTTCAGCAACTCCAACCACCTCCTCTGCCTCAAATTCAACTCCTTTTGCTTGAACAAGTACTGAATACTCTTGTGATCAGTGTACACCTCACACGTCACACCATATAGATAATGCCTCCAAATTTTCAAAGCATGAACAATGGCTGCCAACTCTAGATCATGAATCGGATAATTCTTCTCGTGGATCTTCAACTGCCTCGAAGCATAGGCTATGACTCTGCCATCCTGCATCAATACTGCACCAAGCCCAATACGGGAAGCATCACAATAGACTGTATAAGGCCCTGAACCTGTGGGCAAAACCAATACCGGTGCTGAAGTCAGAGCTGTCTTGAGCTTCTGAAAGCTCGCCTCACACTCATCTGACCATCTGAACTGGGCACCCTTCTGGGTCAATCTGGTCATCGGGGCTGCAATAGATGAAAATCCCTCCACGAACCGACGGTAATAGCCTGCTCACCCCAAGAAACTCCGAATCTCGGTAGCTGATGCTGGTCGAGGCCAGTTCTTGACTGCCTCAATCTTCTTCGGGTCCACCTGAATACCCTCTGCTGATACAACGTGACCCAGAAATGCTACTGAACTCAGCCAGAACTCACACTTGGAGAACTTGGTATATAACTGACTATCCCTCAGAGTCTGAAGAACCACCCTAAGGTGCTGCTCGTGCTCCTCCTGGATGCGGGAGTACACCAAAATATCATCAATAAAGACTATCACGAACATGTCCAAATATGGCCTGAACACTCGGTTCATCAACTCTATGAATGCTGCTGGGGCATTGGTCAACCCAAATGACATGACCAAAAAAAAACTCATAATGTCCATACTGAGTGCGGAATGTTGTCTTAGGGACATCAGACGCCCTAATCCTCAACTGATGGTAGCCAGGTCTCAAGTCTATCTTTGAAAACACCTTTACACCCTGAAGCTGGTCAACAAATCGTCAATCCTCGGCAGTGGATACTTGTTCTTTATCGTCACTTTGTTCAATTGCCGGTAATCAATGCACATCCTCATCGAACCATCCTTTTTCTTCACAAATAACACCGGCACACCCCAAGGAGAAACACTAGGTCTGATAAAACCCTTCTCTAGCAAATCCTGCGTCCTTTAACTCCTTCAACTCTGGCGGGGCCATGCGATACGGTGGGATAGAAATGGGATGAGTGTCCGGGGCCAGATCAATACAAAAATCAATATCCCTGTCGGGCGGCATACCCAGCAGGTCTGAAGGGAAAACCTCGGGGAACTCCCGAACAATAGGAACAGAATCAATAGAAGGGACCTCTGCGCTGGAATCACGAACATACGCCAGATAAGCTAAACACCCCTTCTCGACCATGCGTCGAGCCTTCACATATGAAATAACTCTGCTGGTGGTATGCCCTGGGGTCCCTCTCCACTCCAAACGGGGCAAATCTGGCAAGCCAAGGTCACGGTCTTTGCGTGACAATCTAAGATAGCGTGATACGGGGACAACCAATCCATCCCTAATATAACGTCAAAATCCACCATGTCTAAGAGCAATAAATCAACACGGGTCTCAAGACCCTCAAACACTACCGCACAGGAACGATGAACTCGGTCGACCACTAGAGAATCACCCACCGGTGTAGATACATAAACAGGAATACCCAAAGCATCACTAGGCATAACCAGGTAGGGTGCAAAATAGGATGACATATACGAATACGTAGACCCAGGGTCAATTAGCACGGAAGAATCTCTATCACAAATTAGAATAGTACCCGTAATGTCTGCACCTGAAGACTCAGCCTCTGGCCTGGCTGCTGGCTGGCCTCTACCTCTGGCGGCCTAAACTCCACCTCTATGACTTCTACCTCCACCTCTAACACCTCTGCCACCACCCCTAGCTGGCTGGGCAGGCTGTGGGACCTGTGGTGCCTGAACCATAGCACGAGAACTCTGATGCGGAGAGCTGCCATAAACTAGAGGGCAATATCTGACAATATGCCTCGGATCACCACAAGCATGGCAAGACCTCGTCTGCTGCGGCTGAGCACTCCTCAACCTCGGGCAAACCCTCTTGTTGTGACCATACTCACCACACTCATAACATATACACGAACGATGTAGCTGAGGAAACTAAGGCTGACCCTGTCGACCTGAATGACCACCTGAAGTACCATGAGTGACCTGGAGAGTTGACTGAAAGCGCCTAGGAGGATGGCCTCTACAATAAGAACCTCTACCTCTAGACGAGGTACCACTGAATCTGCCTGCATGACGGGGCCTCTTACCCGACCAATGACCACCTCCCTGTGGCAGAACCCTCTCAACTCTACGGCCCATACTCGCCGCCTATTGAAAAGTGATCTCACTCCCGGCCTGAGCCACTGTACCCGGCTGACCTGCCGCCGCTGGCTGAACTCCTGGAAGCAAACCCGCTCGAATGATGCTCTCCACAAAGCCTACCAATATGACCAAAGCGTCTTAAAGAACTGGGGTGGCTATGAATCCCTCTGGGACCTGAGTTGGGCCCACCGGAGCTGCTGGGGCTGGAACCTCCTCATCATAATCAACATGAGGCTCCACCTCTGGGACTGCTGCTCGGGGCTGAGCTCTGCCCCTGCCTCAGCCTCTGGCACGGCCTCGGCCTCGCTCTCTGCCCCTCGCAGGGGCTGCTGCTGGGAGCTCGGGCTGTTGCGCGGTAGAAGAGGAAGCACATGTTCTCGCCATCTGCGAAAGAACAGAGTAGAAAGACAAGCAGTATTGAGAAATGGAATCGCACGATAAGAAAGAACAAAAGTGAAATTTTCCTAACTCTGTTGCCTCTGGGGGATAAATACAGACGTCTCCGTACCGATCCCTCTGACTCTACCGAGTTTGTCCGTGAGTTGTGAGACCTATGTAACCTAGTTCTTTGATACCAACTTGTCACGACCCGGATTTCCCAACCTCAGGAGTCGTGATGGCGCCTACTAATAGGAGCTAGGCAAGCCAATTAACTATATACATTCTTAGGCAAACATCGACAATATTGAGACAACGAGACAACTAATATAAAAGCGGAAGTCTTAAGCATAAATGAACTGAAAACAAGTGCGGAAATTCAATTACAACCTCTACCCAAGACTGGAGTCACTAACTCACGAACGTCTATTGAATACTAAAA